TAGGTAAACGCACTGTGCCTCAGCAGTAGCTGCCAGTACATATACACTACTACCCTGTGTTTCTACAGGCAGGCAGCACAATTGAAAATGTGTTTTCTGACCTCTGGAAGACAATAAAAAAGGTTATTGTAAACCAATGCCGAGCAATTTGGTTATTATTTTAATTGGCTGATCTTGTTAACCAAAAACTACACCATTTGTAACTGGGCGAACCTTAACCATGCTTTATAACATTATTAAAAAAACATGCTACTGATGATTCATCCCTGTATTAGTTAAGTATTGGTTTAGACGGATTTGACACAATGAATCTGAATTTCTCCTGCTAAACATTTCCTTTGTTGCATCTTCCTGAAGGCATTCAGGAGGAGCTTCAAAAGAGTGTTGGCCATCTAGGGAATTTAAAGCGGATTCATTCCTGTCTTCCTTTTGCTTTTCCTTTTTTCTTTTGTGTTGCACTGAGGACAGGGAGCATTCCACAGGGACAGCATCTTTGTAGTTTGGCAATGGTTAATATTCAAAACAGACATTTCTGTGTGTAATATACTAACTTATGAATGGGTTTAGACACATTGAAATAGTAACACCTGTAGAATTTCAGATGCTTTGTGAAAGGGCAATGCTTACAAGTGAAAGACACAACAATTGTTATTTCCTGGTGCCATCCAGGATCTGTGCCCATCTATTTGCAGGTACTGTATGACACAAATGCTGTTTTGTATGCCGCTCGCCTTTAACAAACTCTTGGAATTGGTTAAGTCGGGGAATTGGTGACCCTGTTATTTGAAAGTTGAGAAGAATCCCTCATCCCTCCTGCTCTGCGCTGCGTTCCCTCTGTATCAGTAGGATATTCTTTGTGTCTCCTTTATCCTTCTATTCACTCTGCTCCTGCACTGTGTTAAAGGCTTGGTGTGCGTGCTTCAGCAGGAACGATGGACTCTCAAGAAGCTATATTATGTTATCTGAGGCTCAGCCTCTCCCTGGGTCCCCGCTTAGAACTCAGAAAAGACCTGTTGTGTCGAGATACCGGCCCGTGTCATGCTGTGCCGAGGCTCTAATGTTTACCTGCTGCTTTGCAGTCAAGGTTAGTGGATTGTGACGCATGTAGACCAATTTAAAGGCATCTTTTGAGACTTGTGTGATGTGAGGAGCTGTTAAATGTTTTTTTAAACACAAACCGGCTTGTGGCTGTTATTTCACCCACAACCCTTTTGAACTACAGGGTAAGATGGATGTAGATTTCGTGGTACTTCCAGTGAAACTGATTCTCTCCTGTCAATTATGCTTGACAGGAAGTGTGTGCTGCAACAGGGATGATCAGATCCAATAAGTCTTCCTGTCAGGGCTGTGTGCCATTATTGGGCTTCGCCACATAAGCTTGAAGAGATCTGTTACCGGAGGATGTCTGAGTTGAATACGCAATGTGTATGTTACAACATATCAATGGGGCCCATCTGTCTTTAGCTCAACATGTACATACAAGCTGTTAATGCAAAACATGTTTAAGCAGGTGAAATGTATTGAGAGGTTCACCTGTGTTGATGGACCCAGGCTCACCTTCGCTGTCATTGCGGTCGGACATCTGTTGTTATTTTGCAGCAAATACAGACCTTAATTGTTTATCAGGGTCATTATTATTCAGTCACAGTCTGTGACACCAGCAGGAGATCCATAATAGGATAGCAGTAGGCTAATCAATCACAGTGTCGGGCAGTAACACTTGACATGTGGCATCTAATATCCAAACCACGTCAGCCACATATGCAGCTCTGCCTGGAAGCTTATTCATATTATTTCCAAGCTTGAAGTGGTTTCCAAATCAGACCTCTTTTATAAATTATTACATATGGCCAATCAGATTTGGGCAGCAGGGACGTTCAGAGGTTCCAGAGCAATTATTATGAACTGTCTTTCCAAAAAGACTTTCCAAAAAGGTCTGAAACATGGAGTGTTTGCCATAGATGTGTGTACTTGTTTTCTTTCTATTTTCGCCTGTGTGTACCCCAATGACCAAAGCCAAGGTTTAAATACACATTTAAATGTATCTTGAGGCTGCATATATTAAAAATCACTGAATTATACATTGTTTCGACTGTCTTGTCCTCGCAAAATGTGCTTTTAATCTTAAAGGATTTAAAACCCAGACCATGATTTAACCTGCTCACATTTCATTCCCACACACTCACACCGGTTTCTTCAATAATTCTGTGTGATTAGACCTCTGCCCAGGTTCAAGTTGGGAGGAGATATAATGTGATTTACATGAGGGCACTCATGTGCTAATAAAATGCTCGAAGAGGAGTTTCTTTTGCACTTTAAGAAGCTTTTAGCTCGTTTGATTTCATTATATTGTGGATTATAGCAGTGATACTGTACGTAATTAAATGTTCTACCATTCAGAATTGTAAGATATTTGTACCAGCTTATCTGAAATCAAATTAAATTTTGGTCTACTAAAATGTAATGTTTAATGGTATGGCTGCCATATGAGAGTAATGACCTGAGTAGTTTCTGATATTCTTCACTATAAAGCCCTCAAAAAACACACAAGCGATTTATATGACATTTCGCTGCAAAAGATCACACAACTGCTCGATGCATCCCGCAACCTAATATCTGTTATCTGTGAGCAACAGCTTCAAAGTGATACTCTGTCACATCAAAAGGAAGTTAATAAAAGGAAATCAGGGCTGGCGGGTTAATGAGTAGACATGTTGTTCTGCTGTATTTGCTGCTCAGTCAGACAGGTGACACAGAAGGAGTTCCTCCGTAGCGACATGCATGTTCTCCTACCCGTTTCTGTTATTAGATTTCCAAGAAAACCCCACAGAAAGTCCCTTCAAGTGTGCGTCTAGAAAAATCTCTGTGTGCAGAATGAGTCACAGCAGGTTGTTTATATATACGTCGGGTTTCAAACTGGATTAACACCCCCGCTGAATAAAATAGGTCTATTTGTGGCATAATTAATGTCCCGTCATGAGTCATTTGTCATTTATTTCAAGGTAGGGAATTCTTTTAAATAAAGATTAGCCTGCAAAAGCATGGCCCAGGGAGATAAATACAATTTAAAATATATATATATATATATATATATATATT